CAAGGAGGACCAATGAGAAGCTCAGTGGCTAATGGCGCTTGCTGCAGAGTTTGACCTGAATGTGCTCCTCAGACCCACCTGGTGGAATGCAGACAGAACTGATTTTTACAATTGTCCTTCGACCTCCACATTTGCACTGTGAAATGAATCCCCCTCAGCCCCATCCCATGTACATGCACGCAAATTAAAAATAATAAAATGTAATAAGAAGAGGTAGTGGGGTTGGAGAGATAGCTCAGGGATTAAGAATACTGACTGCTCTTCCAGAGGCCCTGAGTTCAATTCCTAGCAACCACCTGATGGCGCACAACCGTCCAGCTCCAGGGAATCGGACGCCCTCTTCTGGCCTCCTTGGGCACTGCATTCACAGACATGTGCAGGCAAAACACCCATACTTGGTAAATAGATGATTTTTTAAAAAAAATTAAAGACATATTTGCAAAAAGAAAAATGGGTGGGGAGGAATAGATGGAGACAAATGATGTAGGACCTCTGACCTCCACATGCGCACACACATGTGTGCATGAACACATACATAAACAAACCGAAAAAAGAAGAGCATCCAGCAACTGTGTTTTCATTCACCACAGAACTCGCGCAGAGCCGTGCACAGTCTTCAAGTGCTTGCGAGCCAAGGGCACAATCGCTCCCCACTCAGTCACGGTTGTCTCTGAAGCTGGGACTGGACGCTGTGTGCTAGGGACTACATACGTGCTTTAAGAGCATATTCCAGGGGCCGGAAAGATGGATCAGTGGTTGGAGCACTTGCCGCTCTTCGGAAGACCCCGGTTCAGTTCTCAGCATCTACATCAGGTGGCTCACAATAGCTTTTATTGTGAGTCATAACTCCAGATCCAGGAGATCTAAGGCCCTCCTCTGGCATCTGAAGATACATGCTCATACACACGCACGTAAAATTAAATAAAGATAAAATGGATCTTTAAAAAAGTACAGGTTAAGCTGAGCGGTGGTGGTGGCGCTCACCTTTAATCCCAGCACTTGGGAGGCAGAGGCAGCTGGGTCTCTGTGAGTTCGAGGCCAGCCTGGTCTACAGAGGGAGTTCCAGCACAGCCTCCAGAGCTACAGAGAAACCCTGTCTCGAAAAACCAAACAAACAAACAGAAGAGTGCATGTTAGTAGCTGTTCTTTAAAGAAAGAAACATTTATTTTGTGTTCTAGATATTTGTTAGTGCTGGGTCTCACTGTGGCCTCATCTCAGGGCAACAAGGGCCTTTTAACTGCTAAGCCATTTCAGCTACCTTTAAAAGATTGCATTTATTTAATTTATTGTATGTGAGTGTGACACAGAACACGTGTGGAGGTCAAAGGACAACTTGTGGGAGTCATTTCTCTCCTTCCACAGTGTGGGTCCTGGGGATCAGACTTGGCAACATCACCTCTGCCCACTGGGCCATCTCGCCAGCACAGTCATCTACAGTGAGATTTTATATAAAAAAATAGATTTTAAGAATTTTATTTTATGGCATGAATATTTTGCATAACATGCATACTTGGTATCTGCGGAGGTCAGAGGAAGTTATGAGTGGTTGTGAGCCACCGTGTGGGTGCTGGGAACTGAGTCTGTATCCTCCGGAAGAGCAGTCATGCTCTACACCGCCCCTCAATAGCCTGGACTTAAAGGAGAAGTTTGTTCCTATTGTCTTATTTAATATGCTGGCATCTCTGTTTCAGGGTAGGGGACTGAGTAGAGAGTGTGTGATTGTAAAGATGCCACCCAACAAAGACACAAGTGGGACAAACGGAGTGGGGGCCACAGAGGCCACGGATGAGGACACTTTGTCTAGGGCAATCCGGGAAGGCCTCCTGGAGGAAGCAACCTCACAGAGCCCTGAATGAAAGGAATGTGAGACTTGTCTGATGAGCAGCTTCCTGGGGGTGGGGCTTGGTTGGAGTCATCTCTGGGGCCTGGCGGAGGACATGGGTGAATTACTGCAAACATGAGGCCGATCTGCAAGACCCTGCTTACTGTGCTTCAGATCCCAGATGACACAGAGGACTGACATTTCCTGAGTGTGCTAATGCGTGGGATGGGATCTGTAGGTCACGCTCATGGGCTTTGCTGGGAACAGTAGGTCACGCTCATGGGCTTTGCTGGGAACAGGGACTTTTCCGTGTCCATTATTTTTCTTCCTTCCCATGCTGGGCCTGACAGTCTCTTTAACTGTTGTTTGGAAGGGGAAAATGGGCTAACTGAGTAACTGAATACCTTTCTCTAGAGCCTTTTTTCTGATGAACTCTTTTGTTTGTTGGTTGGTTTGGTTTTGGTTTTTGAGACAGGGTTTCTCTGTAGCTTTGGAGTCTGTCCTGGAACTAGCTCTTGTAGACCAGGCTGGCCTTGAACTCAGAGATTCGCCTGCCTCTGACTCTTGAGTACTGGGATTAAAGTCATGTGCCACCACCACCCAACTTCTGATGAACTTCTTATTCATCCTTCAAGACCCAAACTAAATTCCCTTCTGCCAAGATTTCTATGTCCCCTTTCTTTAGGTCTAGGCTAAGTCAGGATGCTCAAACACATTTCCACTTCATCTGACCTCTGTGGAGAGCCCACCCACTTCACAATAGAAACATTTACCCACAGATCATATCAGGAGGAGGGAAATAATCTCTTTGACAAACCTGTCAGAGCCCCTTAACACAAGGCACAGTGTTTCCCAACCCCCACAGGGAGGCTCCTTGGTGAGGCTCACAGCGGAGACTCTGCTCTGGGAGTGGACATGAGCCCCCAGGAAGGCAGAGACTGTGCCAGGGACCCAAAGTCAGGATGGCTCCTTCCAAGTTAGGAAGAACTGGTGTTGGTGAACCCAAAAATGAGATCTTTGGGAGGGGGAGAAGAAGTGGTTAAAAGACACTTCTGAAAGCTTAGGGGAATGGAGAATTTGATTTTCTCACTGTGGATGGGTGGAAGTGTGGCTGGATAGAAAAGGAAAATGGTGGAAGAGGACCCCTTCTTCCAGAGTCTAGTGAAGGTTTCTCACTAGCTAAGTGTCAGGGGTTCCAGCACAGTTAACCATTGAGTTTGTTGGTTTTAGTTTTTGTTGGTAAGAGCTATGATTTTTATTATTTTAAAATCACATATACTTGTGCATGTCTGTAGCTGGGTACACGGATATAAGTGCAGATGCCCCCTTGGGTACTAGGAACCGAACTCAGGGTCCTCTACAAGCAGTGCACACTCTTAACCACTGAGCCATCTCCCCAGCCCGTGTTGTAAAGTTCCGAGTTTCACGTGTATTGGTGTTTTGTCTGCATGGATGTCTGTGAGAGAGCGTCGCAGCCGGGAACTGGAATTACCGCTGCTTCTGAGCTGCCAGGTGGATGCAGGCGTTGAATCCTCTCTCCTAGCTGAGCCCTCTCTCCAGGCCCTTCTTTCTTTGCTTTCTTTCAATGTTTCTTACACATACTTAGTTTGGGTGCATTCCCACATGTGTGTGCACAGTATGTGTGATGGTCAGAGGACAGTTTGCAAGTGTCCACTCTCTCCTTCCACCTGTGCAAACCACAGAGCTAACTGGCTGGTTCAATATTGCTTTTATATAGAAATATTTTCACATAAGAATTCTAAAGTCACAGTAATCTGAGCCAAAGGACTGAGTGTGTCTGGCCTGGAGCCTCCCTCCTCTCCCAAGGACTTTCCCCCACAGATGAGCCCCACTGATCTGGAGCTGCTCCTTCTCCGCTATAGGCCCACCAGCTGCTCCCAGAAGCTACCCTGTGACCTCATTTAAATATAATGGCACCATTATAGGAACATAATCAAACTCCATTGAAAATTCCATTTCGACTACTGTGAAAACCAATGAGCCAGATTCTCTGTTGAGAAGCCCACACCTCTGGGGCGGGTGAGATAAGTCAGTGTGTGTGTGGGGGAATCACATGCTGGCAAGCCTAACAACCTGGGTTCCATCCCTGGGACCCACATGGGGAAGAAGAGAACCAACCTTCACAAACTGTCCTCGACCCTCTCTCCACACACACTTGCACACCTGCATGCACTCACCTGCATGCAGATAGATACATAAACATAATAAAAAAGACCATGCCCGGGCTGGAGAGATGGCTCAGAGGTTAAGAGCACTGACTGCTCTTCCAAAGGTCCTGAGTTCAATTCCCAGCAACCATATGGTGGCTCACAATCATCTATAAGAAGATCTAGTGCCCTCTTCTGGCCTGCAGACATACATGCAGGCAAAAACACTTCAAATAATAAATAAATCTTAAAAAAAGAAAACATTGATTAATCCCAAGCTGTGAAAACATATAGGAATGTAAAAAAAGGCCACACCCACATCTTAGGTGTGGATTACTTTCTTCTCAAGAGTCTCTCTTTCTTTTACCCTTGTGCTTAAAATCTATGCTTAAAAAAACTCATGCAAGAAACTCCAACTTAGGCCAGTAAGTTGCTCAGTGAGTGAAGACACCAGCAAGCCTGACAATCTGAATTCAATCCCCAGAATACACACGTGGAATGGAAGAACTGACTCCTGAGGTGTCCTCATGTGTATGCATGCGCTCACATACATGCACATAAATAATTTTTTAATTAACAAGATCTGTCAAGATGACTCAGTGGGGAAAAAAAAAGATGGCTCAGTCGGTAAACGTGTTCCCAGTTGAGTCAGATGACCTGAGTTCAAACTCTGGGACCCACATGATAGAAAGAGAAAACCAAATACCTCTGACCTCCAAACATATGCCATGCTGTGTGTACAAACACAAAATAAATGTGATTGAAACAAAACAAAACAAACTTCCAAGTCCACTGCACACTGACTTGTCATGAAATTCAGTTTTACCTGAACTGAGGTCTCTAAGAGATGAAGGGATTCTGAGGATGCTGTGGGCGGCAGTGTGGAGCCTCTTCCTTGCTGCTGACTTATATGAAGGCCGCCCTCTGTGCACACACTGGCCCTGATCCCAGACAGAGGCACACACATTGGAGGTCAGATCAGGTAGGGTTTAATCAGCACTCACCAGACTGTGTCTACATCTCCAAGACAATTACCATAAAATTCCATACATGCACCTTCCATCATAGTCTCTACACACATATGTAAGAGGTAGACAATTCATTGCCCCCATTTTTTAGACAAGGAAACCAAGGCACAGAGAAAGCACCAGGCTTGCCCCAGTCACACAGAAGAGGGAGGTAGAGGAAGCCCAGCTGGATGACTCTGATAACTCTCAGAGACTGGAGACTGTCAGCTTCCTTGAGGTACTAGAAGTTTCTCAGCCATCATTTTCTGAACTTGTGAGCAGAGACAGGAGTGGGCGACGGGTGAGGGGAGAGGATGCATGCTCAAAGGCGTGAGTGGGCATGGCAGGAGGAAAGGGGCGAGGAAGACGGGTGTGAGAGGCTGGTCACGTGGAACTAATGACTCTCCGGATCCAGGGCATGTATTTGCAGACATCGGTGTAGACGGCCGGGTGCGGGGTAGCACCACAGGGGTAAATGCCCCATGAGAGGATGCCATGCAGGGTGTTGTCACACACCAGAGGGCCACCAGAGTCACTCTGAGGACGGGAGAAGGGAGACATCATGAGGTGAGAGCTGCCACCATTTGGAGGGCTATTGCTGGGTTAGGACACAGAAGATGCTGGCATGATGTCACAAGCTGGGGTGGTAAGGGGATACAGACTTGGGGGTGACAGCGGAGATGTGATGAGTTTGCAATTGGAATCGTGACTCATCAGAGGCGAGAAGGACCAGGGTAGGGGTTGGCAGGGTGTGCAAGGATTGAGGGAGGAAGTGTGTGGAGAAAGGGGCTACTAAGGAGTAGGCAGGACTGCGGACTGGGGAGAGAAGTGGTGGAAGGCAGTCAGCTCCTGCACTGCCTTTCTGCCCTCCAGCCAGGACACAGAAATGCTTCCTGGCCTGCCCTTACCTGGCAAGAGTCCTGGTTTCTGTCCAGCCCGGCACAAATCATGTTGTTGGTGATTACGCCCGGGTAGAAGACCTCACACTGCTTCCGGCTAAGGAGAGTTACCCTGGAGCACGTCAGGCTCTTGTTGTACTTCACTAAGAAGAAATGGCCAGTCACACAGGGCCCTGCCAGTCCTTTCCTCCAGACCCAGGAGTCCAGTCCCAAGCCTTCCTCCCGCACACCTAGGGGACCTAAACCCACTCCTACACTCTTGGACCCAGGAGTTCAGACTTCTAGGGTCCTCCCTAAGCCTCTTTCCCGAGAATCAGAGTGCCAGCCTCTCTAGAAACCCTGCAATCAATCCAGCCCTCCTTCCTAAGGAAGACTCCTCCCGCCCAGTTCTTGCCTCTGCGGGAGGCTGTGGTCCCCCAGCCCGCGACCTGGCACTCCTGCCCTGGCTGGGCGCACTGGAAGGGCAGTTGCACCGGATGCACGTTCGGCGTTATCACGACAGGACTCCTCAGCTTCAGCAGCATGAGGTCATGCTCATCTGAGCGGTGTGGCAGGACCGGGCCTGAGCAAGGCTGGTACTTGGGGTGGAAAACGGGGGAATTTGTGGACCGAAGCTGTTCCTTCTGGAAAAGCAGCAGGTGATCATCCCCAATTCGAGCCCTCAGTGGCCTGGGAGAGAAATAGACAGACATAAAGCCTTCATGGAGACGGAGCCTGGTCCTTGGGTCAGAAGGAATGAAGTGGGGCTCCTGAGACCTGAGAGTTCTGGGAGAGGAGAACTTCCTTCCTTCCTTCCTTCCTTCCTTCCTTCCTTCCTTCCTTCCTTCCTTCCTTCCTATCTTCCTTCCTTCCTTCCTTCCTTCCTTCCTTCCTTCCTTCCTTCCTTCCTTCCTTCCTTCCTTCCTTTCTTTCTTTCTTTCTTTTTTTAATACTGACTACAACTGGCCCTGACTTCTGCGGCGACAGGTGTTATGGGCCCACAGCATCCTCTGGCGGTGCAGTTCCAATCCTGCCTCTTTTGTTGGACGGCTGCCACCCCTAATCTGAGGGAGCTGGCCTGAGCCCCATCCTCTCCGCCCTCCGTGGCGGCCCCTAGGTGGCTGCCTCTGGAGCGTCCCTTACTTCTTTCTCCAGCAGTGTGCGGCCGTGAGCACCCAGTTCCGGTCGACGAGGACACCCGCGCATTGGAACTGGAGGTTATGGAAGAGGGAGACCTGCCAGGGTTGTGAGCCACGCGTGCACGGGACGCTAGACGTCTCAAGGTCCACCTGCGTGGCGTTTCCCGGAAGCAATAGCGCCTGCGCGGCTGGGTAGAGAAGCGGGGGATCAGGGCTCGCTGGCCCGGAGTTGGGTATCGGGCTAGTGCCGAGTTTTACCCGATTGGTCTGCAGGGGGCGCAGCTGGATCGTGAACAGTGGGAGAATTACGGAATCCTGCAAACCGGTTTCAGAGAGGCGGGAAAGGGCAGGAGGGGTTATAATGGAATGGGACGACAACACCTCAGGGCTGAGGATGGAGGGAGAAGGTCTGGGGGAAGACAGTGTGTAGGAAAGGCTGGGCTCTAGCCTGGGGGGCAGAGATCAGATGCAGACCTAAGACTTTGGTAGGTAAGGGGGTGGGGGTGGGGCACAGAGAGGGGAAGAACGGAACTCAGTTGGGTATTAAGGGGTAAAGACAAAATGCAGTGAGGCTGTAAAGGGAAGAGACAGCACAAGGGAGCCGTGAGGAGCAGAGGCAGAGTTCAGTCCATCAGTGAGGAGCTGGAGCCAGGAACACAGAAGGGGCAGGGAGGATCAGGAGACAGGACACAGTGCACGGGGCGGGGGCGAGGAGCAGGAGACCGGGACACAGTGGGACAGTAAAGGGGCTGGGCGATAAGGGACCGGGTGAAGCACTAGGCGGGTGGGGAAGATCTGCAGGAGGGAAGGGAGGGGAGGGGAGGAAAAGGGAGGGAAGAGAAGGGAACGGAAGGGAAGGGAAGGGAAGGGGCAAAAGGAGGGCTCCACGCTGCACAGCAGACTAGGCATACTGTAGGACCTGGGTTAGGAAAAGGCAGGGACGGAATGGGTCGGCAAGGGGTGAGAAGGACTGCAAAGCAGGAGAGGAGAAGCTGAGGGAGCCAAGGGGCTGGGTTCTGTTCCAGGGAGGCGCGGCCCCTGGGAACAGAGCCCACCCAAGAGTGGATCTTGCTTGGGATGGCTATGTGGGTGCCGGGGGCGGGGGGCTCTAGGAGGGAGGGCTGAATATGGTTGGAGCGGCCACACTCCCTTCTCCTCCGGTCCTGGCCCTTCCCTCCCGTCGCCCCCGGCCCCAGGCTCACCCCAGAGTTGCACCATCAGTAGCGGCAGCAGCAACTTCACTAGGGCCAAGGCACCAGAGGAGGTGGAGAAGTAGAGGAGCGGGGCACTCATGACTGACACCTGGCTTGCCGAGGCCGGAATGGAGGGCTGAAACAGATGTTCCCGGTCAAGACCCCTGCCTCAGCGCGCCTGGGAGGGGGGTTATTTGTGCACCCAGTCTTTCTTGGCCACCAGCCCCGCTGAGCCCCAGGTCCACGCTCCTTCGTGTGTGTGTGTGTGTGGAAGGGTCCTGCTCAAAGCCCGTGGGAGCCTCTTCCTAACCTCAGAGCCTAGGGACTTCCCCATGTTACAGGAATATCGAGGCTACAAAAGGGTTGCTGCCCGTTGCCCAAGGGTCCCCACCCATCCTCTCACCATCCACCCCAACCAGGGTGGGGTATATCCCGCTTCACCTGGAAGTCGCCAGTGAGAAGGAGGGAGGAGACTCAGAAGTGTCTCTTGCCCTGCAGTGTGGGCTGCAAACAGTGCTCTGACCAGGGACCCCTGGCCAGACCTTCGCTTTTAACCCCCAAGATCCAGGAAGCTTTCCCCACCCTCCCCTCAGGGATTCACTCCCTCTCTTTCCCTCTCCCTAATTATAACGTGGGTGGGGCTGGCACTCAACCAGGGCCCCAGATTCCTGCTCCGGGAGGGGCCCTGGAATACAGGCTTCTGCTGGTGACAGGAACACCTTTTGGAGCTGGCTTCCTTGGGGGTTCCCCATGCCTTGTTCTGAGAAGTGTTCCCAGGTGTGGTGGGAGGAGGGGAGGTCAAGTCTTCTGGGAGCCTGGGGTGATGGAATGGTGAGTGAGGGCGTGGAAGGGGGGGTGAAGGGGGGCGAGGGGCAGTTCAGGTGGTGGAAGGAAAGAGTGGGAAGGACACAGACAAACTCCCAAGGTCTAAACCAAGAAACAGTAGGCTCCTTGTGTCTCAGCATGGGCTTAGAGGGGTGGGGTGGGAGTCGGTAGCTTTGCGCTAAACCTGTGTGAGCATCTTGCATCCTCCCTGCGTGTTTCTAGGTGACACGCAAGCTGGTGAATCACAGGAGGCCCAGGCTGCAAGGGACAGGCCACATCACTTCAGCTAACACCCTCATTTTGGGTGAGGAATGGGAGGCTCAGAGAGGGTTGTGACTCATAAGAGGTCACACAGCAAGCAAGTCCGCCTAACAACCAGAAGATTCTATCTAGTTCCAGCTCTGGGTTCTTCCTCGTACCAGCGGTCTCTCTCCAAGAGCTGAGCAGAACGTCTGTGTCATCTGGGGAGTCTTTAGCCTGCCTCAGCCCTGTCCAGAGCTTCTGCTACAGTGGTTATGTTGTAGCAGCCACCAGCCACGTGCAGCTACAGAGCCTTCGAAACATGTCAAAGGTGCTAGGAATTTCCGTTCTGCTTTCGGGTCCTTTGGCTGCAGATACCATTCAAATCTGACCTCAGTGAACTGAGTCAGGACAGTTTGAAAATGATGGCAGCCTTCTTTCTACCTCTTCCTCCACGCATGCAGACGCGCTTACTGTTATAACACTTGTGCAATTTTCCATGGAGGATGATGAACTGAAAGCCGTGAAGGGGCTGAACTGAGTTCTTTCTGCCTGGCCTGCAAGATGGCTTGGTGGGTAAGGGTGCTTGCTGCCAGCCCGACAGCCTGTGTTTGATCCTGGACCCCACGTGGTGGAAGGAGAGAACCGACTTTACAGCTTGCACACTTCCACATGCATACCATGGCATGAACATCCCCTCCATGAATGAGTATATGTAAAAATAAAAGTTTAAGTAACATAAAAAGAAAATGAACTAAGCTGTAACGTGGCATTGCCTAGACAGTTAAGACTGTCACGGGGCTTTTAAATTCTCCAGTCTTTCATGTCTCTGGCTGTGACAAACGTCTTCATCTATCCGTACCTACTTTCTTGTCAACAGAAAATAGGACCAGTCTCCTAGGGGATTTTGAGCATTTATTTAGTTGGTTAACATTTCCAGGCTCTGGAGGGCTGAAGAGACGGCTCAGCAGTTCAGAGGACTTGGTGCTCTTGCTGAGGCCCCGGGTTTGGTTCCCAGCACCCATATGGTGCCCAGGGGACCAGATGCCCTCTTCTGGACTTCTCAGGCACCAAGCAGGCATGTGGTGCACATAGAGTCATGTAGGCAAAGACTCAATACACATAAATCATTGAAAAGCCGTCTGGATCAGGATTCGAATGCAGATGACATTGAACTAGAATCATTTTATCATTTAACAAATATTTATTGAAACCCTGGAATAAGCCAGGACTTTAGGACTGGGGACAAAACAACAACAAAAACAACAACAACAACCAAACAACGAAACAAAGCCAGTGATGATTATATCTAGAGTCACAACTTAGGTCAAGCTAGAATTTGTTCCAAGCCCCAAGTTGATCATCAGATCAGAACATTTCCTATACTATATCCACGGTGGGTTGAAGAGAGTACATGCAAGGGTCCTAGTTGAGGGCTTCTTAGGGGGGAACAAACGGAAGTCAAAGCATTAAGAAGAGATTGGAGGGGTTGGGTGGTGACAAGCAGGTCCCCTTTAGTTGTCTCTCATAATCTCGTGGATCCAGTCAATATATTTGCAGACTTTGGTATAGACACCAGGCTTTCTGGTGACCGCGCACGGGTCCTGACCCCAGGAGATGATGCCTTGAAGAGATCCATTGCAGACCAGAGGGCCTCCAGAGTCACCCTGGCATGAGAGGGGGCACAATGAGTAAAAGTCAAGGGAGGGGGTCCTCTGATGGGAGTGCAGACAGTGGTGGGGGTGGGAAGCAGGCGAAGGAAGAATTTACAGTGGTGGGACTGGCGAGAGGTTGGGAGATGAAACTGGGATTCTGGGTGAGAAAATATATATAAATATATTTATAATTAATTAACATTATATAATTATAATATCATATATAATTATGTAATTAATTAATATTATATAATTTATATGTGATTATAAATATATTTATAATTTATATAAACATATATCCATATATTTATATTTGTGTATCTATACACATATACATACATACATACATACATACATACATACATACACACACATATATGTCAGGTTAGGGGCCAGAGAAACTTGTTGGGTGGTTGGAGTTTAATGAGGGTAAGCATGGGCAGACAGGCACTGTGCTGACATCAGAAATGGCAGCTGGGGTTGGAGATGATTGGGGTTAGGGTATGTCAGTAAAGATGTGAGGTTGGGGATGGGGATGTGGCTGGAGACCTAGCCCCTGCCCGCTTACCTGGCAGGAGTCCTTGCCCTCCTTCCGAACACTAGCACACAGCATGGTCTCTGTGATGTTGCCTGGGTAGGCGCTCTCACACTCCTTGTGTTCGATGATGGAGACATTGGCGCATCGCAAGGAATGAGGCAGGCGCACTGAGGGGACAGCAGCGGAGGTGAGCAGTGAGCTCCGATTCTCCAGCCCCACCACCCGTCTCACTATAGCAACAGCCATGCTATGAATAAATTCTTCATATCGCTTGCTCCCTACGCATTATCTCTGACCCCACTGTGATAGGTGGGTATGATTATTCCTTTAATGGAAAAAACCAAAGTCAGAGAGGTAACGCCCTCTGCCTTAGATCCCATAACTAGAAAGTTTCAGATTTGGGAACCACACCTGTCTCACTCTCGAGGCCCCAAAGTGAGTCTCCCAGAATTTCCCTTTCCCTCTCTTGATAGCCTTTGAGCGGCTCTGGTCTTTATCTCTGCAGATTCATCTGGTCTCCATTCCCCACCTCCCACACTTCCCCCACCGGGAGCCCCTACACTGGGGGCTGGACGTGGTGCCCCATCCGGAAATGAGGCAGCTGGTGCCCGCAGTGACGCAGTGTGAGGACAGCGTGAGCGGCCGCACTGCTCGGCTGACGACGGCGGGAGAGGACATCTTCACTAGCATGATGTCGTTCCGGTGGTCTTTGTTGGGGAGGCTGTTGTTGAAGCCGGGGTGAGGGAAGGACTCCGTGGCCGTTCGCTTCTGCTCATAGCCATCCGTCTTCTCCAGATTGTGTTCTCCAAGGAGGACCACGTAATGGCTGAGGTGGGAGAGCAGTGGTCAGAGGTGGAAAGGTGGGAGGACAGGGCAGGGGTGGGGAGGGAGAGATGAACACTCACCCCTCCATTCTTGTTCTGACTAGACTAACGTCACCCACACCGAGGCCACCTTATCGCTCTGTCCGCCACCCAACTAGATCTTCACTGGACAAGCTAACCCCACTCTACCCCCCACCCCTCCATCTTCAGTCCCATAGATCCGCGCACGCGCGCACACGCACGCACGCGCACATACACACACACACACACACACACACACACACACACACACACAGTCTTGATCATACTCTCAGCATCCATGCTAATGCCATGCCATTCCCAATCCCTTCACCTACTGCCACCCCCGTGTACTCTCTAACCCCAGCCCCTCTCCATCCATCTCTCCATCTCCAGCCCCCTCCCAGCCCCGCCCCAGCCCCCGCACCCACGGCTTGCGGCAGTGGGCGGCTGTCAGGAGCCATTTGGGGGCGATGAGGGTTGCCCCACAGAGAAGTCGTGTCTTCTGAAAGAGGGCCACCTGCCATGGCTGGGAATGAGGGGTGCACTCGTAACCCTTGATGATCCTCGTCTCTCCCCCTACGTGCCCTGAAGGGGGCAAAAGATGAGGTGTAAGCGTAAAAGGAGGTAGGCTGGTAGAGGAACCCCCAGAAATGAGGGTGGGGAAGAGCAAATGTCTTAGCTGACGTGTGCAGGCATAAGACTGCTTCTAGGTCATTAGAGCTAGAGCTTTTGAAGTGACCCAGATCCCCTCCTCCTCTACTGAGACCCACTTGACCAGGTCTAGTATAGCTCAGACCAGCTGACAGTGACCCCCCCCCCACCTGGGTTGTGGGAGAGGGAGGCCCCACATGTCCCCTAAGCCCCACCGTACCTGTCACCAGAGCAAGTGCGATGAACCGTAGAATCGTCATGGCCCGAAGCAGAGCAGGGTGGGCTCCAGGCTCCCCTGGGGACAAGGAGGAAGGCCTAATCACTTTAGCAGGAGATCAGAAGGCTGGCTTGTGGTTTCTCCTCTCTCCCTCACCTGCTGTGGCTCTCTGCTTCTCTGACCAGCTGCCTTCTTCTCCCAAGGGAACCCCCTGATTCTCACACAACCCCCCAAGCTGTGAGAAGAAACTTATGCTCTGGAGAGCCCTTGGCCAGAGGCTGGGATCCTGGCTGGCAGCTTCCTGGGTGTCGAGGAGAATAGCAAAACAGCTGGGAGGGGCTCTGCTGGGCAGGGTTCTGGGCTCACTTGGTTTAGGTTGCCAGTGGAGGGGAAAGCCCCCTGGGGAAATCTCAGAGAATATTTTTCTTCTCACTCATCTGGGAACCTGGCTTGCTCCACACCTCCGAGTGATGGGGGGACAAAAGGAAAGGGTCACCCACTGGGTAAGGACCTCATTTTGGTCATCCCAACAGCAGTGCTAGGGGCCTGTGGGGCCTTTCTGCTACTGGTGAAGTCCCTCTCTCCACCTTGCTGAACCCCTGTGAAGGACAGCTGGACAGGGCTGGGTGGAGTTGGCTAAGTGACAGCCAGTGCCTATAGGTGCCCTGGCTGGCGTGGGTGGGAGAGAAGGGCAGGACTTGGCCACCTAAATTGGGGACAGAGGTCATGGAGTTTGGGGGCAGCAGTTTGATGGTGAGAGATACAGAGAGAGGCAGAGTGGTCTCAAGTCCTTCCCCATCCTCCAAGGACAGATCAGAGGCGGAAATGCATGCTGGAACAGAAGAGGCCTAGCTTCTAGGGTGGAAGTCTCTTGGAATGGGTTGGGCAGGGGATGGGGGGAACCTTCCCTTCCCTCCTGACTCACTCGGGCTCTGGGGATAGGGCTCTAACGAGCCCAGAGGTGGCAGCTGCAGCAGCTGGGGTCTGGGCACCAGGCAGACAGACAGGCAGGTAGGGGGTTGGCCCCAGGCAGGCCCAGGATGTCTGGGCTCCTAGCCCTGCTTTATCGCCCTGGGGAAGGTGTGTGGGGAGGTTCTCCCAAGGCAACCTTGGGGTCTGGGAGACAGGATATGACCTCTCCAAGCCCATCTTTCCGCAGTGGCCACGTCTCCTTTCCAGCAGTCCCCAAGTCTCAGGTCCTCCCTGCCCCCTCTCCTATCCTATAAAACTGTGTATGATTTTGGTCTCTCTGCCACTAGGTTTCTGCCCCTGCATGTCTTTGGATCCTTGTCTCCTCTTGTCTCAGCTCTTTGTCCTGTCCCATCCCTCTCCAGATCTCCCTCTGCCTGTCTCTGTCTCCTCTCCGAGGCCTCCATTTCTGCCTCTCCTCCTGTGGGCCTCTCCTTTCTCACAGCCTGAGCCCAATGGGGTCCTTGGCCTCCCTTGGGCCCTCCCTTGTCCTTTCCAAAGACAGAAGGGGGGAATCTGGGGCATCCCAGAGTTGGTGGGGGAGGCAGGTCAGGGCTGTGACAGCCATGGCTCAAGGAAGGAGGAAGAAACCTCAGCAGGTGTACCAGGGGCCCGGGCTCCTGTGTGGGCCTCCATTCCCTACTGACCCTCCCTCCTCTCCCGAGCCTCCACTGCCCAGGCCTCCAGCACTTACTGGGCACTGTTGATCTGCAGTCGCTCTTCAGCCTCCTGGGCCTCCTCATCGGACAGCCCCAGGTTTGAAGCCTCGCTTCTTCCCAGCTTATGTTTTCATTCAGATCTTCCTTTCCTGGGCCTTCCTCTCCTCTCTCCCCGAAGCAGATGTGGGGCAAGGCGGAGTAGGCCCAGGCTGTGCCGGCAGCCAACCGTGGCCTCAAACCCTACGGGCTCTGCCTCTTCCTACCCAGGTGACGTGGGACGGGCGACTCCACCCCAGGGAAGTTCAGCTCCCTAATCTGCGGCATGGGGGTGCTGGCCCTGCCTTGGGGTGGAGTGGGGGATAAAATGCCAAGAGGATGCGGGGAAAGGCCACCCCTGTGCTTTTCGATCAGCACACCTGCTCCCCTCTTTGGCATTTTTGAGCAAGGCCTTCGTTTCTGCCTTCTGAAGAGAATGTGGAGACAGCACCTATGGGCGGGCACAGCCTTGTGCTGCTTCAGCTGGGTTGGCTTGTCCCCAGAGCCAGCCTGGACCATCTCTGACACAGTGAAGCAGACTGGCGTCTCGTTCCAGATGTGGTGCAGTCAGGGCTAGCGCACCACCCCCACTCTGGTCATTCACATCCAGTTCATTAGAAAGCTGGAAGTGGGGGCTAGAGAAATGGTTCAGGGGTTAAGAGCACTGTCTACTCTTCCTAAAGGATCTTGGTTCGATTCCCAGCAACCACACAGTGACTCACAGCTGTGTGTACCTTCCGTTTCAGGGGATCCAATGTCTTCTTCTGGCTTCAGTGGGTACCAGGCATACATACGGTGCACAGACATACATGCAGAAAAATACCCGTAACCATAAAATAAAGACGATAATAATTTCAAAATGAAGACCAAAAGCTTTGATTTTTTTGAAACAGATTCTCACTATGCAGCTCTGTCTGGCCTAGAGCACACTCTGTAGGCCATGCTGGCCTCAAACTCAGAAATCTGCCTGCCAAGGGCGGGAACTAAAAACTCCACCACCAGGCCTGGCATGTTTGCTTTTGAGACAGGGTCTCATGAAACCCAGATTGGCCTCAAACTTACTGTGTATTCCAGGACGACCTTGAACTTATCTTCTTCATCTCTTTCTCCTGAGAGTCAGGATCACAGACCTCTGCAACCAAGCCCAACAAAAAGTCCCACCCTTCTTGGTTTCCTCCAGGCTTAAACGGTACATTAAACAGACAGGTGCAGCCCCTTCCCTTGATCGCATAAACGTTTATTCCAGAGTTTCACAGCCCTTTCTCCACCACCGGGCTCTCAGGAGGTTCTCTACACCAACAAGGGTGGGACTTGGAGTGGTGAGGGAGGAGATGTGGGTGTTAGAGGGTCAGGGAAGCCCCTGGACAGAACCACACAGACGCTGGGGAAGCCTGTTAATTGTTCTTGATGACTGTTCTGATCCAGGGCACGTATTTGCAGATCTTGGTATACACCCCTGGAATGCCTTTTTGTCCGCAAGGCCCAACAGATCCCCAGGAAACCAGGCCTTGAAGAACCCCTCTACACACCAGGGGGCCTCCAGAGTCACCCTAGAAGACAGAAGCGAGACAGCCTCATCAAGAAGAGGCTCCAAGCCACGTTCTGGGAGAAGGGAGCACGGATAGTTCACAGGAAGAACATTGTAACAGCTAGCCAATAGGAAGGAAGATGCCACCTCACTGGGGCCAATAAGGGAAGAGAATGCTATCTTCCAGACCTAACCCCAGAAAAGGAGGACTGGAGTTTGAGAATAAAGTGCCCTGAGGGGGTGGTTGGTCTCTGGGCACTAGGATAGAGTGGCCTCCTCTGAGGTGCCCAAGAGACTAAAGATGCAGTGTCACGCCACACATTGACACAGCTGGTTTTGTGACCTTCTTTTCCCAACCCCCCTCTCTTGAAACATGGGGTAACCCCAGCTGCTTGATGGTGTGGAGAAAGCCTTGGAGTGCCAGCAAAGGGGACCGACAGACCACATCCTGGCTAGTTCTCTGCCTGACTGTTTTACTCTCCTTCTTTACAGCCTCCTGCTCCTCCATTCTGGGCTCCTCCCTCCTTTCTCCTGTCTCTTCCTCTTTAGGC